AAGAAAAACCCCAAGCCATGATTGATAAAATGGCAACTTTTATTTGAATTATTCTGTTTCACAGAGTACAGAAAGAAAGGGACAACACAGACATATCATCTCTCTCCCAAATATTTTACTCAAAGTGCTAAGAAAAGGTCCCCCTTGCTTCTTTGTATTTGGCAAGAGGATTAGGATTACTAAGAGGATTAGTTGAGTTTCTGAGAAATGAGTAATTAAAAAAAAACTTTATATTTTCAAAGTGTCCTGAATATCTTCCCCTGCATTTTTGGGAAACTCTTTGCAAAACCGCAAAGAGACATTCATGAAATTGAGTGAATTTAAAGAATTTTCAGAAGACCTTAATCTTTTAATTATATGACCAACAGTCGTGGGTTTTCATTTGCACTAATTTAAACAACACCATAGCTGCTCCCAATTGATGTATTTTATATATTAAATTTGACAACTCTTTAAATTCATCAGCATGAGTATTATCTTTACGACCATTTCCTCCTGAAAGTAAGGAAATTTGGCTTACAAATATTTGAAGTCAATATTAAATACCTAAGAAAAAATACTAGATAGAAGACAAGTTATAATCGCTTACAAAGCACTTAACACAAATTCTTAATATATCTTTCCATCTTTATTTGTTGCATGAGCAGCAGCAAAAATGGCAAATGTTGGATATTCTGAACTTTTGAAAATACATTGGAATGGAGACTCTGGTCTACATTAATGTTTGCGGAAATCCTCAAATAATTAAAAAAAAAAGACATCAGTAGGGAACGTAAAGAAAAATATTTTAAACATGCATTTTGAGAAAGTGAAATAAGTTATCTGATACTTACCATGCTGATTGACAATAAGAAAGTCAAGGATTAACATCATGGCTGAAATTGTCTATTATGCCAAACCAAGATATTTTTATGATGACTTGTTGAATAAGTTATAGCCTAGCTCACACATAGTACTAAGCCACAATTGGCAGGTTCATATTGCCCTTACTCAAAAGCAAACCACACTACATATGAGATGTAAACTTAGCATTATATTAATTTGTTAGTGTTTCATGACATTAGTTTAGGAACAGGAGAGCTGGCCTGCTTATTCAGAAGAAAAGTTATATGTATCCAACACTCCCTTAACTGAGTGGATCATCTGAGGTTTTGGAAGGAAAAACAGCAGGACATCATGACAACAGTTTCCTGTACCAAAAATTGGTATTTAGCAGAATCCTGCTTTTAAGACAGTTTCACTTAAGTTTTACAGCTAACAGCCATCAATCAACCTAACAATTACCATACAGATAGTTTTAATTTCCAGCTGACATCAGAACAGAATTGGTAATTTATTTAACATATCAGTAAAACACTCCAGAATGAACAACTATGGATATGTGGAAACCACTTCCTGACTATGTAAAATCTAACTTATTGTAAATTCCATAGATGTTATGTTGAGTGTATACACTGAAAAAGTATTAATTGTGCCAAACAGAAGGAATATTCTCTCAATCTCATGGTTATAGGGGTGAAGCTTTTTTCCCAAGGGATTTAGGAAAAATGTCACCATGACAATAGATCAGGGCTGTCAAACTCCCAATCCACAGGCCGGATGTGTAATGCGCTGGCCATGCCCATGCCTAGTTTAGCAAAGGGGGGGAAAGTCTCGATATGTCATGTGATGCCAATGTGACAATGTGAGTTTGACACCCCTGCAATAGATATTCATTGAGCTTGTCTAAGCAGTATATTGTCTTCATGACAAATATAAAATTTAAATTAGGGACCTTGTCCAATACAGATCAATTGCATAACCACCATTTTATAAGCAGCAGAAACAAGTGTGAAGAATCTTGGTGGAAACCTTGTTTACATCTCCATTTCATGGCTCTCACTCATCCCAAACTTTGTTGACTGCTCCTTGAGATCTTTAAAAAAGATTATTAAGCTTCAGAGCAAGGGGAACAATCTGAGTGCTATTTGAGCCCTTAGTAGTTTATAGACTTTTCTTTTAAAAAAAAGAAATTATAAAAACATTTCCCTAATTCAAGGCCCACCCTCCCCCCATTCTTGGTTGGTTGGTTGGTTAGTTTTGTTTTGTTTTTGTTTTTTGCTTGTAATCATTCCTGTTTCTCATAAACATTGAGGTAGATTTCATGTTAACAAAATGGAAGAGAGGTGAAAAGTTGCAAGATACATTTTCAAATGTATACCACTTACGTGGCTCTCTTCCTATTTAAAGAAAACCAAATAGTTGTAGAAATCATGTGACTTATACAGATGAAAATTTTCTATTAATAATTTCAGGAGTTACATGACAGAGAATATCACTGCCAATGCAAGGTCTCTTTGAATTGCTTCATTTGGCTGCAGGTCCTGATTGCCTTCCTCAGGAGGGCTTCTTTCATTTTCTTGTAACATTTGCAGAGATTTAGGAAATCTGTTCAGCCCTTGTACTGAGCTACAGCACACCAAGAAAAAAATTAGTGTATGACAGCTATGACAGACATAGCAACCATTTGTTATAGAACGTATGTGACCAAGGTAGGCTTCAACAGAAACAGGTCTATCAGGAACAATAATTAAAGCTTTAAGGCTGATATGGGACCCCATTACAAGATGGCAGATGGGGACAGAGACAAAGTGGACACAACTGGATGGTCTCCTATGGAAGCTGCCAGGACACAGATCTATAACTTCCATGTATGAGTTCTACCAACCATGCAATACTGGATTTAAAAGGTTTTTCAATGCAATACTGGATTTAAAAGGTTTTTTCAATGGAGGATGATTTTTTTCCTTGGCATCTTAGGAAGCTTTATGAGCAATCATTAAAAGATTGGATATGTTCATCAATTTATCCTGTGGAAGAGATATCATAGCAGTTTCAGATATCTGAAGAGTTGCTTCTTATAAGAAGGAGCAGCATTATTATTTTTTATTGTTCCAGAGTTAGGGGTTTGCATCCAGAAGAATTTCTGATCATATAGGTTGCTAGCCATTGGAGTGTACCAGCAAATGAAGTATTGAGTTCATCAAACATGTCATGTCCTGGATATCATTTGTCAGACATATTCCAGTGGAACCACCACTGAGAAGGGGGTCATGTTGGATGTATTCTAGGGTCTCTTCCAACTCTATAAAAGGCAGTTTGTAAAATGGTTCCAGGCTTCATTGGGAGGCAGGAAACATGTTGGGACTCAACCTCCCCAATCCCAAAACAAAGATCAGAAGACATGCTTCCTTGTGCATTTCTCCTGATCACAGGCACAAAAATAAGAGGAGGGAAAAGCAAAGAAAAACAACACACTCGTTTCCTATAGTTACACAGCAGCTAGAATTTTTGGATATTTGCAGTATTCTATCTCCACATTTAAAATCCTGCATTAAAGGGCAATATGGATTCAGCATTTTGAGATCCTCGCTGCAGTTTGTTCTAGCCACAAGGACAGAAGCATGCCATCTTAAATATTGGTCTCTAACAAAACATTTTCAGGGAATTTCATTTGGTCTCTTTTAATTTTGGAATTCATATCCTACCTTTATTTTATTTTTTATTTTTACAACCCTGTAGCTGAAATATTTACTGGCTGGATGCCCTTCCTGATACCTACATGAGGTTCACAGCAGATATTTTTTCTTAGTACCCTAGGAGAGAAACATCTGCTGCTACCTAAAATTGAATTCTCAACCTTCTGAGTGGGAGGCAAGCATCTTCACCACTAGGCCACTACACTGCTCTTATCCTACCTTTATTATTTTTATAAATCACTTAAGGCAACAAACATACCTAATATTCTTTACTCCTGCTACTTTACCACAACATCAACCCTATAAGTTGAGTTGGGCTTAGAGGGAATGATTGCTCCTAAGTCACCCCACTGGACTAGAACTTTCACTTGGTGTGCAACTTATTAGAGAAAATCAGTTCCAAGTATTGTAAGAATCAGAATGGCAATGTGAAAAGGACCATAGCAACCATTCAGTCCTTTAGATTTCTGCAACCAACATAATTCTGCCAAATTACTTTTCTAAAATATGGATCTTGAGCCAAATTACTTTGAATGTGATATAAGTATTGAAAGTTTCTGTCCGTGTATATATAAATGCTGAATCCACTTAATTGTTTGTATAGTAAGTGGCCTATTTCCTTTTCTAAAAAGGTATGTTCCATCTCACAGTTTTATTTCTATGGCCTCTGAAATTGAAAAAAAACAGGTTAGATTAAAAATACCCAAGCAAGCAGGGTAACTGAAGTTCAGAGAAGTTCAGCACCTTTTCAGCTTTATTTTTTAATGTAATCCCTGACATTCTCTTGTATGACAGTGGTTTCACAGCAGGGAAGGTTTGAAGACCTGATTCTCCTGCTGTTTAGTTTCTCCCTCAGCATGAGAAGAATTTAAATAAAGGATGGGCAAAATATTGATACATATAAAACAGTGAATTAAAATCTGATTAAAGACAAGGGGCGGGGGAATGTGGTGATTTGCAGTCTTAACCAGACAAAGATGGGAAGTAAAAAAAATGTTAATTATTGTTCACCTCCCTTAACCCAGTGCCTCCCCCAGATGCACTGGGTTAGTCATTCCTCAGCATCATGGACATTAGGATGATCAGAATGAAATTCAGCACAGATGGATGTATCTGGCTGAGGGAGGTTGCTTTAAGTCTTATAGAACATAGTTCCAACTGGTTTTATGTGGCCAAAAGGATGGAGCTAGAGAAATGATACTTGAAAGAAGTTTCTATTCTGTTATTTACTTCTAAAATTCAAATTCTCTTTAGTTTCCAAAAAAAAAAAAGATTATAAGTGCCAAAGACTCATGCCTATTGCCCATTGTCAATCTGAGACCTTGAGATAAGGCAGGCTGTAGATCTTAACACATACATTTGTTAATAGAACCTGGAGATAGGAAGACAGTTGCCTCAAGAAGAAGAAGAAGAAAATCCATGCAACTCTTCTCCCCTTCTCCACTTTTTTTTAAAATAAAGCCTGATGTACAGATAGGCTGTTCCAAGGACACTATCCTCATAATAGAGAGGTACCATACATCTGGAAACAAGAGATCAATCAGTACATGACCCTTATCTTAGAGCAGTATAATAAAATATAGGTTTGTAAGGAGAGAGAGAGAAAGGGAGGGAGGGGGAGAGAGAGAGAGAGGGAGAGAGAGAGAGAGAGGGAGAAATATAGTGGTGTCAAATATGGGAAGATGTTTACATTTACACTGTTACCCCAATAATGTTAACATGCTGCCATTGCAAGAGAATAATGAGGCAAAATGTGCAGCTACAGTTATTATATAAGAGCTATCTAAAGCAAGGTGTGAAGTGGTGAAAAATGTGTAAAACAGTCACCAAAATATGGGAATGCTTTCTGGGCTTCTACCTAAGTGTGCAGTTTACAAGCCCTCCAGAACGACTCACAAGAAGCCAACACAAGACAAAAAGAGGAGCTTCTTTTGTGGAAAAAAAGCTTATTATTCAGTGCAATAACATAAGAACGTCCATGCTACACTTTTGGAAGTTGGCTCTATTTCTCAGCAGCATTTCTAAAAGTGGACTTTTAATGTAAAAGACCAACACAAAGACACTTGAACCAGCAATTGGAGGCCAAGGCTTTTTACATCTGTTAAACGACCAACCCCCAAATACCCTTTTGTAGTAGCATAAGAGGCAGAGAAATCAGACCCACTTGGATATCCCTGTGTAAAATAGGCACAAACAAAAACTTTGTGATTTGTTGTGCCTTCAGTGGGTTGGAGTTCATTAATCTGTTCTCCTACCCCACCCCAAAACACGCAAACTTGGGTTATTTTTTACCCATCCTACCCTGAGATCTTTCAGAGACATCAAAACTAAACCATGTAGATAGAGTCAAACCATCACCAGAATAACCTCAGTACTGAGCAATCAGATAGTGAAGGTGACTGGCCCCTGCTAAGCTTAATTCCAGCATATTTCTCATTCCTTTTCCCCACCTTTGTAGCTGGTTGAAGCACTGGAGAAATATTGCAGATCCTGCCCATAAAGAGCAGTAAGGAGAGGCAACCCACTTTAAAAACCAAGGCAAAGAAGACAAGGGAGAGGCAAAAATGTTCACGCTTCAGTCCAATGGAAACTTGGAGGTATTTTAGAGAGAAAGAGCCCCTTGTGGTGCCTCCACTTTTCATGCAGCATCCAAGAAAGGTGGGGTGGGTATGAGGTGGGCAATCTCTTTAAGGAAGCCAGAAGAAGAAGGACGGTGAAACAGACCTCAGATCTTACTGTTCTCCAGGTGTGAATCAATGTGTTTTATCAAAGCATCATCTGGATAACCGATAGGAAAGGCCACCTGGCAGAGAGGACAGCTTCGGATGTCAGAGTCTACTGTTTCCATCAGCAACTAAGGGAAAGAATGCAAAGTAGAAAAAGGTATCATAAAAGTGAACTTATTAAATCTTTATTTTGTATCTATTACATTAATTACCAAGATTCTGAAAGGTGAACCTTTTAGACATACTCCCATAATGGAATGGTGGATAGCCTATGACTCTCTAGGATACATATATAACTATAACTTCCCAGAAATTTCAAAGCCAATGGTGAAGAATGCTAAGAACTGCAATTCAGCAACACTGGGAGAGCCACAGGTTCTCATTCTTAATGTAACAATTTAGCTGGTAACAACTGAAGTTATAAAGTAAAATGTAATCATATTTAAATAAATTTGTGGCTGAAATGAGAGGTTCCCATTATAAAAAAGTGACCACAGTCACAGGCAAAGCATATAACTAGATGAGGAAAACTCCAGAGGGTATACACATTCTGTGAACTATGCTTTTTAGGATCTGCATTCTGATCTCTGAGCATGAAACAATATAATTAAATAACGTCATCCTGTATTTGACATCAACTGTTAGAATAAAACCGATAGTTTAAGTGATTTTTAAATATCACCAAATGTAGCAATTATTTCAAGTATTAGATCTTCCCTATCACTTTATAGCATGTAGTGTTTTGCTGTCATCTGATACTACTGGTGTCACTAAAGTTATTTGCATTTCATTCATCAATGCAATATTATTTTTATCTTCATGAAATATTTATCTATAAAAATTACCAATTTATCTATAAGATGCAACTACTTGTATCTTACAAATAAATTTGTAATTTGTATAGACTACTTAGCTAGTACCCCCTCTTCGGGAGTGGGGTAAATCTTGAAAAATATACATGCAAACTATTATATGTATTTAAGAACAGTGATTAGCATTTTGGGGCCACAGTTAAATTGTCTTCCACTGCTGTTGTTTTAGTTAATTCTATTTTATATAGGACTATAAACATGTTTTTTGCATGGTGCTTTATTGCACAAGCCAGCATGAGAATGCAATTCAAGGTAAGCAATAAAATGTAACCATGTTAACCAAGATAAATATTGAAGATGAGGAAATAATTAAGCTATCATGAACATGCTTATAACCATGATACCAAAATATCATTTCCATCTTTGTTGAAAATAACTGGGCAACTTTAGAGTGCAAACTCGGATCAGAGGTGGTGAAATGTTGCACACTTTTGAAAGGTCAAGCATCTTCCAGAATATCATCAGGAACCACTTAGGTTGGATGTTAATTGCTAAGATTAGGTATGTAATTTGAACAGATTTTTTAAAAATTAAAGTTAAATAATCTACTTGATTCATACTATGGATCACTGCATCTTTTCCAAAAAGGTCATCAACTTTTTGGAAAAAAAGTTGAATTCCTAAGCTTGAGGTTGTGCTCATAACAGTGGGACCCTGATGTATTAGGATCTGCAGAGAAATTGAAATAAAAATATAAAATTTTAACAGGCTCACTGAGGCCTTGTCATTGTATAATTAAAAGATGGTTATCACTATCTTGGGAACATCAGGTCTCACAAATTTTTATTTCTCACAGAAAAGATTAAGTGTTTGGTCTGTGGTATTAAAATATACACCATAAACACTTTGCAGTCTTAGAAAATCTTTGTAGGTAAAATAAATTGGGCAATGAAAGACCATTTAGTTAACTGATTCTGAACTGAGTTCAAATTGGGGTGGGGAAAAGGCAGAGAATACACATGGCATTGGATGTTGCTTACATTGATTGAGGGCCAGGACTGAGCATGCTCAGCCCTGGAGTACGATGCATCAATCCGGTGCATGGAGGTGTCGGGAATGGGGAACCCTGCACAGAAGGAGGCGCAGCGGATACCCCCTACTTCAGGACTGGGGGGGCTTGGGAGGGCCCAGTCGTCTTCATCCGAGGACTGCTTCTCAAAGCGCAAGTGCTCTTCGAAGTTGTCTCTGGCATAAACCTCGCAGTAGGGACGATGCTTTGGTAAGGTGGATATTTCTGGCTGCAGCCAGAGAGAACGGTTCTGTTGATACAGAGCAGCGTCGCTCACCTCCGAGTAGCTTCGACGACCTTGGAAGCTTGCTTTGATGTGATGACTGGAGGGCTTAGAATATCCCAGATCCATAATGTTTCTGTCAGTCCCTGGAGATCTATGTTGTGAAGTCATGGCAGGCGACGAACAATTTTGGACTGGTGAGCAGCGCTGCTGGGCAGAAGACTGGCTAGGTGGTGGAGCTGGAGAACGCCGCTGGCTAACAGGAGACTGGCAAGGAGGGGGGGCTGGGGAACGACGTTGATGTGCAGGGGATTGACCAGGTGGGCCTGGGGAATGCCTCTGTAGGGCTGGAGATTGGCTTTGAGGAGCAGAAGGCCTCCCTTGTTGAGCTGGAGATGTGCATTGGGGACCTGGAGAACCACGTTGCTGGGCAGGCGAATGGCGCTGGGAATGGGGAGAATGCCGCTGACCTGGAACAAAGGACAGAAGAAGAAGTGTTCAAGGATGCATAAGTCATCCACATGACTGACCAACTTCCAAAAGAGGCCTAGATAATTTTGAAACCTCACATGATCTGTATGAGTTAAAGCTTTGGTACTATACACTCATTATATATTAGTTGGTTCTACATAATTCTTAATAGAAAATATGTTTTATTTAAAAATGTGTTAATAGCAAAGACGAAAGGATTTTCAAATTTTCTTGCTCATGATTGAAATTAGAATCATCGTATTTATCAAAGCAGGTGGAAAGGGGTGAAGTACCACCTGTCTCTGCAACATAATACCCTTTCCTTTGCACTTTTACAAGGTAGGTATTCTAAAATCCCACTAGCTAAGTACCCATGCTCTGTGGACATATAGAAATACTTCATCATATGTTATTATAAAGATAGTCAGAATACTTATATCTTAACCATGTATCGTCAATAACTAAGACATACAGTTTTAGTGAATCTATTCCTCTCAAATATGAAACTTTATATCACTGATAGCAGCTAAATTTGGTGATGCTGTAATAAATATGTGTTATTTATTGATTGTTCTTTTTTCATTGGTCTGACAGAGATACGTAATACTTGATTGTTGCTAGAAGGAGGAGGAGGAGGAGGAGGAGGAGGAGGAGGAGAAGAAGAAGAAGAAGAAGAAGAAGAAGAAGAAGAAGAAGAAGAAG